GTCGGTTTACTCGATAAGTCGGTCATATGAGCTCACCCCCACATGACCGACTTATCGAGTTTACATATTAATATGTATTCACAGGGACACAGGTGTAACGTTTCAGAAATTGTCCGCATGTGATGTCATGCCCTGTTTTCTAGATTATTTAATAAAAAATAAACTTTTTCTTTTTCTTGCAATATAAAAGAGAGTAAGAGTAAATTTGAGCCATATCTGTAGTTAAAATAGTTAAAATGAATTAAACGGTTGAAATAGTTGGATTAGGACATAATAGGCAAATTAAGAGAGTAAATGATATAATGGGGAGGAATTGTCGAACCTTACTGCCAATAGTAATAGTAATAGCATTGAATATTTAAAAGTCTCGATAAATTTTTACAGGAAATTAATAATGTATAAAGATACATTAATTATAATGCCAACAGTCGGAGAAAATCAACATACTATTCAATCTCATCTTTGTTAAAAAAGGGCCCACCTTAGTTTTCAATCCGTTAAAAGCTCTTATAGATGACCAAATGATTGAATTAATATACATACTGGAATACCTTGTGCTGCAACTGAAAATTCACATTTATATCAAGAAAAGGCAGCTGCTGAAATTGCATCAAAGTGACAAGAATTATTTCTTGCCTCCAGATAAGTTTGTCCTTAATATATAATTTAGAAAAACGATAGAACGAATTGCTGTAATGGAAAGAGTTCAATTTGTATTCGATGAAGCACGCTGTATGCTGGATCATGAACATTTTTCGATAATGTTGTTGTGGAATTGCTAACGATCACAAATGATGAATTGAATGATTAATCGTCATGGAATAAAGAAAAATTATATTGAAATTAGAAAACCATGAAAACGGCAAAATTCAAAGGAAAGAAAAGAAAGAAATCTTATGACAAGACAAGAAAACAGCAAAAATAAAGACTATAAATTTATAGTAAAATAATACTCTTGAGCCAATCAATTTACATATTTGGAAACCATATTAGACAAACAGAAATGAACAAAGGATTATTTTTTGATTTAACCAAGAGGGAGAATCGTCATCAACTGCAAAGCCTTAATGTCGTGTTTATATTTTGTACCATCAAACTAAATAATAAATACAAAACATGACTAGTCTGCAACAAATTACTGGACCTTCCAAATGAAGAAAGAACACATTTTTATAATAATAATAATTAATAATTTTATTCTAATGACTTTTTTTTATATCTCACTTAGATCCAAAACCATTTGTAGTACCTTCAATACATGAATTACTTCGTGTTCTTATATCCCTCCCTACTACAATCCTCATGATCATCAACACACTGGTATTATGCGATTCATGGCCTTTGATGCTAGTGGTCAAGCGACAGGCTGATTTGAAGTTTTACGTAATCTTGCTATTGATGAACTGTGCAAATATCTCTTTCAAGTAATTTTATTTTTTATTTTTAATTTTCAATAGCATGTTTATTTGTTTATAAAATATTAAAATGGTAATTTATTTAGAATTAGGTTGGCACATACAGATAACATGACATTGTTATTATTGACATTTCGCTTTATCTCAACAGTTTTTGGAGCACCTTGTCCATATCTTAACTTATTTATCAATTGGCACCGCATCAAAGTCTGTCCCTTGCATTCAACAAAGTATTTGCTAATCCTGATTTTGGTAATGTTCTGTAATTTGATTCCAGCATCTCAACATCATCAAATCGTGATTAAGATAATTGATATTTCATCTGCTACTGGTGAAGTTCGTGAATTATTGTTAGAAACAATGGTCAATTTGCTAAAAAATCTTCTTTCATGGTTTACTTACGATCTTAATGTTGACTGTGTATTTATTTGAAGAGGTCATTAAATTCTTATAGTTGATGATCAACATATTTCATAGTAATCAGCGGGGGAAAAATACTTTTTATCAAATATTATCAATATTATCATGGTAAAAATTAGTGCAAGTTCTCTCGTTCATAGACAGACCGTTAAATTGTTAATTTTCACTGTGAGTGATTCACATACAATGATGCACATTTTAAATCAAAAGAATTTTTTTAATTATAAATCAAGGTAAACAAATATTCTCTCAATTTAAATTAAAGAATTGTAACGATGATGATTAAATTACAATCTGCGTTATCTATCAGAATTAAAAATAAGAAATGTTGAGAAATTTAAAATCTGAAAATAATTAAAAATATATATATATACACACATATATATTTAACTATATTATTAATTTAAAAAATATACAATTTGGTTTTTTCTTTAAATAAACAACAGAAGAACTATCTTTCAAAAGAAAAAAATAGTTAAACAAATAATAAATAATAATTCAACAGAAGATTTTCTATTACAAGTCTTTCCATAGCCACCTATTAAAGAAATCTAAACTATTTATTGGTTGATCATATGGGACCATGTGACCAGCTTCGTAGATTCTCAAGAAGGCGAGTCCTTCATGATGTTTAATAGTACCGGCCTTGTCTAAAGTACTCTTGACAATCCATGATGTCTCATTGGCTAAATTGTAACTTTCTTTTCCTGACCATTCCAATTCCTTGACCCAGGCATCACTGCCAATCCAATTACACATGTAATCAGCATCGCCAGCATAAATCAGAACACGGATATCATCATCTAATAGCCCAGGTATTAACTTGTGATATGGTTTCATCCTACATATTATTTAATTATAATTATAATTTTTGATGGAAAAATACTAAGAACAAACAAACAAACGAATAATAGATATTATACATACCAATCACCTGCCATTTGGAATTGGAAATTGACTCTCATGTTACAAGTTTTAAATTCTATTCCTGGGTCCACTCCTAACTCAGTTTTAACATCTTCTCGATCTAAATATGACTCAATAACATCCAAGATTGGATAACACAAATTATTTTTATCATTCTCGCAATCTCTTCTAATGTCATATGGATTTTTGCCAGACTTAAAGAATGGCTGGACGATTTGACGATTGCAATAAAGAGAGGCAGGTAAACAGACGAATACATTTTGCGAGTCGTAACACTTTTTGATCATAGAAGCACAATTTGCGTAGGCATTTCTCATACCATCGCACGTCCCTTGATCTAATACCGGACCATAACTTGAATTACATGCCATGTCAGGATAATACTTGTACTGGGTTAATGGATCTACAAGGCCATTACCGATCATAACAGTGCTAAGATTTATTGGTAGGTGATCTCTTAACTTTTTGTTGTTTTTATTAATTTCTGATGCAAGTACTGGTATGTAATGACCAGCATATCTAAAAATCGAGATTATTATTATTTATTTATTTTTTTTAATTAATATACAGATGGAAAATTATATATATATTCTTACGATTCACCGGCAATGTGGAAATCCAATTTAGCATACTGCTCAAGCTCTTTAAAGAAGATTTGCAAAAATGCATATACATCAGTTGCTGCAGCAAGCGTATTTGAAACGCTATCTCCATAAGAATAACCAACGTTTGTTGGCTAAAGTTAATTATGTATTAAAAAAAAAATTAAATTAAATTAAAAGGAGGAAGAAATATTTTATGAATTAATTATTTTAAATTATTTTGAATAATTGTAACTTTATAGTAATTTTACCTGATCCAAAAATATAACACTGGCATTATTTGTCCATGAATGAGGATTATATATGGTGTCAGATCCATCCTCCTTAACACTACAAGGACCAAGTTCTAAGAATAACCCAGTCAAAGAAGAACATCTATAAAATAATAATAATATATAGCAATAAAGAAATATTGTTACTATGATGATGATGATTAAAGATTTTTTTTAAAATTATTATTAATCAACTTACCCTGGACCTCCATTAAGCTGTGATTAATTATGTACACAGTATTATATATATAAGTAAATAAAAAGTTTGAAAAAAAATAAAAATAAATTCTAATAATGTGAATTAAAAATTTACCCAAAGAACTATAGGATCTTCAGATGGATTATTCCTTGATTCAAAGAACCAGAAAAAGAAATGCTTATCATCAGGAGCATCCAAATATCCAGAATACTAAAAATCAAAAAGATTAAATTAATAAAGGATAATAAAGATTTCTCTCATTATAGTTCCCGAATTTTTACCTGTTTTACACTTGTATCGCAAAGTTTTGGTTCCCTCATTTCATTTAATCTGACTTGATAATTTGGGAAATTATCGTGTCTTAAAATTTTAATAGAATCTTCCTTATTGTCGTTGTCATCGTCGTCATCATCATCATAAAAATCAAAGTTTGCATCTTCGTATCGATTAATTGGTTTATCTTCAGCGTCATCACAATCAAACTTGTATGTTTTCTCATGATTATAACTTTCGATTTTGTTATCGTCTATACAATCATCGATTATTCTGTCGTTTTCATCGACCATATAAATTCTACAATTTTTTTTATTATTACCGTGTCCTTTACCAAATTTTTTATGAGCGTCATCAATAAATTCCACCAAATTATCTTTTATAAAATTATTTGTTGAGAAAAGGTCTCTCTGGTCGATTAGTTGACATATTGTCAATGAAATAAAAATCACTATTGATAAAAATATCGAAACAGAATAAAAAATTTTATTATTATTATAGTTGAACATTTTCATGAGAGAATTAACGAAAGGAAAAATTCCACTTTATTCAAATCACGGATATTGACCATATTTATATCCATTTACTGTTATTATTGCTGTATTACATTCATCGAATAATAAATAATAATAATAATAATAAATAAATATAGATATTAATCAATCTATTACTATATTGTTTATCAAACAACATCAGAAAACATTAAGAAACGGAGTGAATCGGTTACAAAATTATCCACTTCAGGATAAATGACTGTCTTACAAATTTAAAAGCGAAACACAGTTAGTTAATAATTAATATTCCGAGTGATCAGTTGACCAATTGGATGAATATTTTAGGAAATTTAATTAGTACCATTCTATTTTTGTTTCTCTATTATAAAATTATATATTATCAACTAAAATTTATTATTTAATATTAAAAACAGCTTTTTTACATTAATTGGCATCTTTAGCTACCTGTTTTTTTGTGGTATTGGTTAAATATAAACATCATCAAAAAGGTGAACAGGCAACTATATATATATATATATATATTGTTGCCTACTTATGATTAGACTGCTACCTACTTGTTTTTGATACCATTTGGTGCTCAATTTTTTTTTGCTGTAGTGGCTGGCTTTTGATCGCTTGCTAAATATTTTCCTTGTTCGAACCGGATGCGGAACATCCCAGCTTGCTGATGTATTTATCCACGAATGCTAGCGTTGAGGCATGTAGTACAATCTCTATTTTGCTTTGCACAATGCATTCGATTGCCAGGTTTGAGGCATGTGATACCGAGTTGATATCCGTTATTTGCTTTGCACAATGCATTCGAATACCAGAGTTGAGGCATGTAGTGTCGAAATAGTATTCTCATATTATAGTGGCAAAAGGCACGATTTTTTATTAAATACTTTTGTTTATTGTTTAGTGTTAATTATTGGACTTGTAATTTTCATCTTCGCCTTTAATAAAATATCCCGATTTTTAATGATCGGCAGCCAAAAAATTATCACTAATTATAATGAGAATTTCTTTAAACAATTTAAATTATGTATTTATTTACAGACTTTGCAAAACATTGCATTTTTTCTAAAAAATGAAGTTTACAAAATTTCTCGTGATTGTGAGAGGTTAACTTCCGAATCATTCTTATTTATAAATTAATTATCTATTATTAATATAGCAAAAATGATTATTATTAAAAAAATTGTGTTCGGATTAAGGGTGGTAAGAAAGAGTGTTATTATTTTTATGATTTTTTGTTGTTGTATTATTTGTTGGATTTGTTGTTGTCGTTATAACAGAATTTGTTGTATTTGGTTATTGACTTGTTGACGAAGGAAACCATTTGAATGGCACTTCGCTACATTAGATATTATAATCCGAAGAAAAATTATTAGACATATAAAAAATATTACTATACATCTCGTCAACGGTTCTATCAGTGCATACCATGATGTATGACGTTGACTGTTAAAACACCCCTCAACGTAGTAGAGTTTTTGAATAATCCGTCAATAGAGTCTCCTGCTAATCTTTTATGATATCGTCGTTGTTAATATTTTTCTACAGCTTTCAAAAATCAGTCGGCCCAACTCGTCAATACGTCTCCAGTTATCCGAAATCAAAATGACGACATCTCGACAGAGGGCTAAAAATCCGCGATATGATGGGTTTTTTTCGTAGAAGATGAGAAATAGGGAGATCAAACAGACTAGGAACTGAAGAATATGAACGGAGGAATATAACAAGTTGAACTATTGTTCACAAGACTTACTGTCGTAGCCAAGGTAATGGTTCGGTGTATTCGTGGTGATCTTGTGAGGAAATTTATCTTTTTCAATATTTCAAATAAAAATAAAATAGGCATGTATATATAGTCAGCTGATAAATGTTAATTAATGGGATCAAAGAAACAAACATATAGATAGATTCTTTATTTCACCTTTTCATATTAATATATATAGAATCTTTAAGATTTTTATATGGTCTGTTATTAACTTTGAACCAGCTTTCTTGATTGGACTAAACAAAATAACAGTTATGATCATGTTTTGGGTGATTCATCTTTTTTTTTGAAGGAGCGAACAGTCAGTATGTTTGTTATGCTAAGATTTAATAAACGAATGTGATTGGATAATAGTTTTTATCAATGATCAGCAAGTATCCTTATCCAAAATGAACAATTGATAAATCACTCATAATATATACTGTATATATAAATTACTGATTTATTGCTAATAGTTATATATCAACAATTTTAATTATATTTATAAGATAAAATAAAATTCTAATAAGTTTCCTCCCCATCCATCTCCCCTAGTTTATTTAAAGTGCTATGACTAAAATCAATAATATAAATAATATAACCATCAAAATTCCAATGCAACATGTAGATTTTGATTCTATTGAAGAAATTTTTTTGTTATTTTTAAAAAAAACCGATAAATAAAAAAAAGTCAACAAAAATAAAAAGTTCAAACCTTCATTTTTTTTAATGACATATGTCACTTTTTTCATAGCACTACTCAATCTGCTTTGGCTACGATCTATTTGTTCATCAAACTCTTCAAATAATCTAATATATATGAATAGATAAACATTAAAATTAATAAACTAATTTGAATAATTAACAATTACTTATATTTGCTTACACTTTCTGATCTTCAAGTTCATTGCCAATAGTCGCAGCTATTTCATGAATATTTCGAGCTGTTCCATACAATGATTCTAATTGTTTGTCTTGTTCTCTCATAATTAACTATAAAACAAACAAATAAATAATGTTTTTATGAAAAAAAAAATGTATATATATATTGTTTCATAATTTTTATAAATTATTTACAGTTTGCTGGAGCGATTCATTTTCTATAAGCTTAACATTATCCATCTCAATAACTTCTTCATCTCTTGATTGTCCAAACATTTCATTTGATTTAAAATTTCCAATTAATTTCTATATATAACATATATATATATATATATTAAAAGCATCCAAAAAATAAAAAACCAACTAATGGTATGAATCATAGTTTTTTTGTGAGCTTACATCTCTATCATTTTCTTTGTAATTTGATTTTTTCCTTGATGGGTTTTTTAGGTTTGATCGAATTTCCTAAATTATACTTTAAATTTGTCTGAAAATTATGATAAATAAATAAAAAAGCATAAGATTATTTAGGAATAATACCTTTAATTTTTCTTTCTTTTGTTCAACGAATTCACGACGTGATTCAATATCTTTTGATGTGATGAAACTATATTTAACCGGGTCACTCTCAACCACTCGTATTTATATTGTTGATTTGTAGTCAGGGATTTTTTAATTAATAAATATCAATTTGATTATAAAATTATTTTTGAAAAAAAAGGATATTAATTGTCTGAGATATTTCATCAAGGTCACTCTCAATAGATTTAATAATTGGTTCTAATTCTTCTTCGGTTCTTTTTAACTCTTCATTATTCCTAGATGAAACTGTATTATAAATTCTATTCCAACTATCATATAGCGTTATCACTGCCAAGAAGTTGTATTCTATTTCTCTGAAAGCAAAATGTATATAGATTTATTAATAATTGATATTAATTAAAAAATTCAAATAAAAAATACATTAAAATCAGATCTTACTCTTTAAAAACATAGTATGGATCGTCCGACATTGGTTAGTTGAAGATTAGATAAAATAAGTGTTAAAAATTTTAATATTCAGAAAATTGAACCAATAAATTTTCTGCGGCAAGGATTAGTAACACGGGGCGCAGAAACTATATACTCAAATTTTGCAAGTAGTCAATTAGTCGACTATTTTAGTCAACTATTTAATCGACTATTTTAGTATATATATAGTCGATCCATGAAATTTTTTTAAAAAATCTCGTGATATTTTCAATTCTTCCTAAGCAAAAACAGATATATTTATATCTTTTCAACATAAAGTTTGCATTGCGCTGCCTCCTTTTTCTTTTCCTCATTGGAGTCCAAAGTAAATGAATTGCTGAAACCTAAAGCAAGGACCCGAAGCAAATGGGAATTTACAAAATAATGGTTCTCCAATCCTTTTTCAGCCGATTCTTTTTTATGTTCTCTATTAAATGCATTATCCAATTTTTTTATTGTTGGTGACTCATTTGCATCTAACTTACCTGCTTCTACTCTTTGTTTTAGATCTGTAAGCATTGCTTCAGCAGTGAATCTATTCTTCTCCTCATCTATATTTCCTGGTAAAAATAGGCTTGGATTGGTTTTGCTTACTCAGACATGCATTACTTCTTCCATCACATTTTCTAAAATTTTGCTCTCTAGAAAATATTTATTATATTAATTTTGTCCTATTTACAGTTCTCACTCTCTCTATAATGGACCACTTGGTTTGGGAAAAGGTGTCCGTTATTGTGCATGAAAATTTTATTAAATTCTGATTAGCTAGTGGCTGTATCCATTGATTATCCGGGTGTTTGAGTACTTGGTCAATCAATAAAGCTCAACATCTGGTGAAAATTTTCAACACCTGATTAACTGGATAATTGGTGAATAATTGATGAATATCATTCAGTGGATACAACCACTATGATTAGCTAATTTGAATTCACACACAACATATATGTAACATATAAATTGGATCTTGCTCTATAATGAATGGACTGAGAATTTAAGTTTGTTATAGAAGGTTCCATTATAGAGAATCTGTTATAGACAATAATAATTTATACAAATTGGCTTAACTTCTTGGTCCATGATTATTATAGAAAGATCCATTATAGAGAGAGTGAATTGTATCTTATTCAATTTTTAACTGCTTCATCTTCATTCCAGGTATCATTATATGGTGTTTCTCATTTTGTACATTTCAATTGATATGAGTGATGCATTGTTCAACACTGAACCTTGGGAATGAATTTCTATGCAAATTTTCATAGGGAGATAAGAAAAAAGATTTATATATACCTTTTGATTTTGTTTATAGTTTCTTCTCCAACCTGCTTTCATAATGTGAATAACGAATGATTGAACCTAATGAAATTAAACAAGGGTTGGTTTAATTTTTTTAAAATCACTCATTATTAAAAGTATTGTGAATTAAAGGGCTGGTTGTTATCATTTATTTTGGTTGATGTTTATACAGCATACTGCAATTGAGATTATACCAACTTTTCCTTATCATTATGATACCCATGATTATTTGATTATACGAAAAAAAAGCCCCCTCACAAAAAAATTACTTTTTGTCTGTTTGCCTGCAATTTCTTTGCAAATCCATACAAAATTGCAATGAATTTTCTATTAAAATTCAAAAGACAAATAGTCGAGTTTATTTGACTGTAGAGCCACTTTACTTGGCATGCAGGGTATATTTATTTGTTGAAGATTACATAGTGTAAAACACGTCGTGTTTGAGCAGTAGTTATTACTATCTGAATTAAATCACACATAAAACATAAGAACTAGCTTTCATGTTTTTTAAAGTCAATGTGCTCATTCCAATGAAATCCAATTGGTTGTCTACTATCTGCATCTGAAATATATATATATATATGCAAATTAATTTTTGGTATGAATTGGCAAATAGACCAATATCCGGATATCAGAATTATTTGTATTTGTATTTGAGCAATTGAATAGTCAGATACAAATTTTTGTGAACAGATGATTGACAAACATCCAGAGACATTTCTCCAGATCAGCAAATTAGAAGACAATGATAACTCTTCACTTGGTTTTGTAATATGGTTTAGATTTTTTTATAATTCTATCACATCCAAATTCGTTACTTTCATCTTCATTTTCTTGATAATGGGTAAAGGCAACAAACAAAGCAATAAAAAATAAGATTTCATTTTTTGATTGATTGTTAATTGAATGTCTCAGATCATTTTAAACAAATTTACCCAAGTAATATATATATTTTTATTTATTTATTTATTTTCTTGGAAAAATCCTTTTCAAGCCGAATAAAAAAAAAGAAAGCTTGTTTCTTTTTAAACAACTTTATTAATTAAATCCTTTACAGAATTTTTGAGCATTTAAGACATTGTGAATGTGTTTTATGATTTCTAGCTAAATAAAAGATAATGAAAGAAAAGTAGTAGTGTGGTTTTTTTTATTCAAAGTCAATAATGCTGAGAACTTACATGATTATTACAAATCAAAAGTGATAATTAAGGGTGAGTTTTATTATATTTCCATTGATTCATGAGTCTTCTAATTGACATATATTATTATTGTCATTATTATTATTATTATTA